AGGCACGCACTACCATGCCCGGCTGATTTTTGATTTATTGTAGAGATGAGGTCTTGCCAAGTTGCCCAGGCGGGTCTCGAACCCACACGCTCAGACAATCCACTCACCTCGGCCTCCCAAAGCACTGGGATCACAGGCTGAGCCTCTGAGCCCGGCTGCACCATTTATTGACGAGCCTGTTCTTTCCCAAGCACGTTCTTGGTGGCTGACATTGATGATGATGTCCCGCTCATTCAGATGGAAGAAGGGATGGTCACGGCAGAGGGGTTAGTAAAGCCGCATCCGGTCTTCCCCATCACTGCACCCCATATTCTGCCGGTGGGTGCCAGGAGCCCTTGATGATTCTTGGGAGTGTGTGCATGTGTAGGTCGGTTTTCTAGTATGGACATATTCTATATATAATCCAAACCTGTCTTTGGAATCACTTAGCCAGCTTTTGCGAGTAGATGGATAGGAACTGAATGGCACTGCAGTTCCTTAGTGATATTTCACCAACTTCACTGGCAATCCTAAGAAGAGTGGAAAGACCGAGACCCAGTTCAGCCACTCCATTGTGGGACCACACTTTTCTTACTTCCAAATAAAGCAATGATGACACCCGCCTTGTAGGCATCCCATGGGACACCTCTTCCTCCCTGGGGCCTGCTCCCAGTTGTAGCCTGGTACCTACCCACGGTGTCTGCCACAATTGGTGCCTAGTGCAAAGATGTGGGGCGTGACTGGGAGCTGGTGGCCCTGATGGGCGTGTGTGGCAGAGGGCTGGGCAGTTAGCAGGCATGCAGAAAACAGTTGCTGTGGCTACTTAGTACTGGTGGAGCCGAGGGTTAGCCTGGGTCTCCAGTCTTCAGTCATTCCCCTGATGTACTGGACTGTTCTCAGAGGCTGACTCTTACATGGGAGTCTAGTGTTATGGAGAGTGACCTTGGCTCTGGGGGTAGGAAGGTTGTATTTTTTTTTTTTAAGCAGCACCTTGGCAAGTCCTTATCAGGTACCAGCCACCTTGTGTGTGGGCTGCTCGGTCCTCACAGCAGGCTCTGAGGGTGGGCAATGTTTGTAGTTTATGAGTGAGAACTGAGATTCCAAAAGAGCAAGCAGGTTGTCCCAGCTCACATAGATGTTATATATATCCACCTTGCATAAGCTTATGAGGAGGTCAGTAATGGAAATTGTATTGACAAGAGAAAATGTAAAAGTTCTTCCTCATTCCACTGAGTGATTCGATTCATTTTTTTTTTTTTTTTTTTTTTTTGAGTTGGAGTTTCACTCTATGGCCCAGACGGAGTACAGTGGCATACTTATGGCCACTGCAGCTTTGACCTGTTGGACTCAGGCAATCCTTCCACTTTAGCCTTCCAAGTAGCAGGAACTACACATGTGCGCCACTGTGGCTGGCTAATTGTTTTTTATTTATTGTAGAGACAAGGTCTCACCATGTTGCCCAGGCTAGTCTCGAACCCAAGGGTTCAGGCAGTCCTCTCGTGTCAGCCTCCCAAAGTCCTGGGATTACAGACTTGAGTCACCATGCCCAGCTGATTCGTGTTTTTATTACCACCATGGATGCATCCGTGCACACATGCCTACATTATACACTCTCACATCCATTTTAACCTCCTTTAATCTCAGGTCGCCGTCAGTGGAATCGAATGGGATTACATTGCCACACAGGGACCATTGCAGCATACCTGTCAGGACTTCTGGCAGATGGTATGGGAACAGGGAATTGCGATCATAGCAATGGTGACAGCAGAGGAGGTGAGTGCTCATGCCCCTTAACTGGTTTTCTCAGCCTCTGAGGAATGGCTGCCGTTCCTCAGTGGACCCCCAACCTTTGGAGAGGAGACGGGTGGGGTTGTGGCTCGAGGGTCAGGTCTGTAGCCTGGGATGGGCTTCGGTGGCTGGCCCTCATGCTGCTGTCACTGGCTCTTCACAGGAGGGCGGGAGGGAGAAGAGCTTTCGGTACTGGCCGCGCCTGGGCTCCAGGCACAACACCGTTACCTACGGGAGGTTCAAGATCACTACCCGCTTCCGCACGGACTCTGGCTGCTATGCCACCACCGGCCTGAAGATGAAGCACCTCCTCACGGGCCAGGAGCGTACTGTCTGGCACCTGCAGTACACGGACTGGCCTGAGCACGGCTGTCCTGAGGACCCCAAGGGCTTTCTGTGTAAGTGGCGCCGCTCCCTGATGGCCTTCCTGGAGCTACAGATGGAGGAAGGCGTGCCTTGTGCAAGCGTGTCTGTGCAGTTCTCCCGTGGGCCTGGGGCTTGTTTTAAAATCCAGAGTGGATGTGTTCTGGGAAGGCTTCGCTGAAGAGGCGTTGCATGGGTTTGAGGGGCTGAGTGCCACAGCCCACGCAGGGTGTCTCCTGTCCACGTTGTGGTGGAGACAGGGGAGGCAGGTGGAGGGGCTGACTCGCCCCCAGCCCCTCCGCCCTCAGTGGGGTTGGCCGGGCGCCCGGTGCTCTTGGCTGCTGCCCATCTGAGATGCCGTGATCCCCAAGCGTCTTCTCTGATTTCCAGCATACCTCGAGGAGATCCAGTCTGTCAGACGCCACACGAACAGCACAAGCGATCCCCAGAACCCCAACCCCCCGCTGCTGGTCCACTGCAGCGCGGGGGTGGGAAGGACAGGTGTTGTCATCTTATCAGAGATCATGATTGCCTGCCTGGAGCACAATGAGGTGACTACTGTGCCAGCCTCGCCTTGTGGGTGGGAAAAGGTTGAAGGAGAGGGAGGGGGACCTCAGAGCTGTCTGAACACATGTCCTACACTGTGGCGGCCTCAGATACTCTTCAGCGTTCCCTGCGACAGGCTGTGTGTTCTTGGAGCATCTTGGTACCTATTAGCATATTCAAGGTGCAAGAAGTCATGCGGTACATAAAGCTGTTTAATGGCCTTACCTGGTGTTTCTCAAATTTGAGCTCAGAACCCCGATTTTCCCGGAACACCTGGTAACATTTCAAGGATGGCTAATGCTGGCCAGAGCCCTGTGTGGGGAGTACTGAGCACTGAGCACACTGCCTATCTGTTGAGTCTTGGTATCTGGTGAGATAAGGTAGTTTACATCCAACCAGAGGCCGTGAGCTCCACCCAGGGAAAGTTGGCGATAAGGGTCCTTGTGATGTGGATATTCTAGTTATTGTAAAAGCTCACGGGGAGTGGGCCGTCATGGGCTATTTATAGAAGGTGCTAAGTAGAGACTGTCCCCCTACCTAGATCTCTGTAAAGATGTCAGCGTCCCCTCACCCCCCTCTCCCCCAGGTGCTAGACGTTCCGCGAGTGCTGGACATGCTGCGGCGGCAGCGGATGATGCTGGTGCAGACCCTCTGCCAGTACACATTCGTCTACCGGGTTCTCATCCAGTTCCTGAAGAGCTCCCGGCTCATATGAGCTCCCCGTTCCTCAAGGACCGTCGTGGGAAGCGTCTACAGTGGAAAGTACTCGCTTGGCTCACGCTCCCCCTCACACGTGGCCACGCAGCACCACCCAGGATATGCGTGGAGCACTGAAGGAACCAGCAGTTCTGGGCTGGGGGCCCTCACGTGGGAGAGGGCCTGGGGACTTGGGTTCGAGGGCGGCCCCTGCTCTGCCTGCCCGATCTGCAGCACTTGCACCTGCTTTGAGGATTGTATTTTCCAGGCAATCCTCCGTTTGACTGGAGCTGCGCTGGGAGTTCTGGCAATTATGACGGCGTGTAGATTTCTATCTTCAACTCATTTTTGATCATGGAATTTTAAGACTAAAACATTTAGGGATTTTCTTAGCGAGAAACTGAACTTTCTCGCAGCTGATCACAGACGTGAGTGGCTCCTGTAACTTTGTATTTAAAACCATGTTACCTTTTGCTGCTTGTTAAAAACCTTCAGTTCTTAACAGTTTAATTACCAAACCGAAAGCTCTAAGGAGCCTCTAAAAGTGTTATTTTTGAAACATAGAAAGCATTTTTATAATGAGAACATTTTTTATCCTGAAAATTCTATATTTTATTCTATATTTTTTCCAAACGAGAGAGCAACTCATTAAGATACTGAACTGAGTCAGTTAATGTGAAGGAAAGTCGGGGATGAAGGCACGCCATTGAAATGTACGAATGGTCGGATTAACTGTTTTTTTGGTATCGTTTGTAAACCTAAATGAGTCTGATTTTATTGGTTGAAAATGACGTGGAAAAAATTGCCTAGGGTGGTTTGAAGCACTTTTTTGGGTCAAAAACAACATCTGAGTTTTAATATGCGATGCTTCATAGATGACACAACATGGATGTTGTTTCAGAAGAGGGATTTGGAGGAGATGAGGGCTTAGTACACGTAAGATGAGGACAGGAATGAGTGGAGTGGAGTGGAGTGGACGTGGTATTGTCTATGCGTGGACAAGGTACTGGGAGGAAGGGTGGAACTGGGAGTGTGGGGCAACCCCATGGTGCTGGTCCAGGGAGCTCAAGGCCTGTCATGTGCTGCAATGTGCTCTGTTTCCTTGGAGTTCTTCTACCTAAACCTGTGTGCTCTTTTTTCATAAATAAACTCAGCTTTATATGCTCATGAAAAGAAGCCTTCAATAGGCTATATTTTCTTTTGGTTGAAGGAATGGAATTGTTAATAATAGTTTTGACCTCTTCTCCCAAAACCACAGCCCAAACCAGAGACAGCTGTGGCATTAGAAGACTTGAATCTTAGCTCCTTAATCCCTTGACGTCACCGCAGGGGTCAATTGTAGCTACTTAGCCCCCCCCCACCCCGCCATGCAACTTAGGCACAGTGGAAAGAGCCAGGCTGAGTTAAGAGGGGGACATGTCCAGCCCAGGCTAACATGGCCTCGTCGTCGTCACTGAGCAGGTGAGGACTAATGGGCACATTTAGCTGAGGAGCTGTCTCCTTCTCCACCTCCTTTGGCTGTTTTCCCACAATGGAAGCTTCCAGAATGTCAGCTCTTGGTTTGTCTCCCCACATTATGGTATTGTAGGCATCATTTGCGTTTAACTCACTATGTCGTGCAGACTAAGCCTGTGTTGTCAGCCAGGAGACAAGGATTCCTGCATAATGTGTGCACAAGCCTCAATATACCCAGAAATCGATACCTAGGAGGAAAATCCAGAAGATATTAATGAAAATCAGTATTCAAAGTGGGCACATTTCTCACATAGCAACAAAATAATAATTTAAAAATCAAAAGTCCTTTTAAAAGTTCTGTTTGCAAAACAATAGATCCAAGTGAAAATATTCAGAAAGAACTCCCCAGAAGACAAGAATTAGAGTTGTGAATGGCACTGTTTCCCATCTCCATACCATATAAAGGGCAGGAGTTTTTCAGCTTTTTTCCTTCTTGTGGTACATTTTTTTAAAAAATGATTTTCTGTCAGGTTTAAACATTTCAAAATATCCCATTGACAACATATTGTAAGACAAATCTAATTAAAGAGTAATATATGGTATATTTGTGTGTTTTTTGTAATTTTGGTAAATCAATTTTACACTGTTTAAATCTGTCACTTAAAAAAATGTATGTTTGACATTGCTTCTAAGAGCCATGTGATTTTTAAACTTTTAATTGCAGTTAGTGAATATGAAAGGATTTCTGAATAAAAGTCGGTCTACATTACTGTGATCTTCAAGAGCAGAATGTAGAGCGTTGAGGTTTCATGGGCTTCCCAAGTCTGAACTGAAGATACTAGTATCTGCCTAACTTATACAATGCCTGCATTCAGACGGGCTTCCCAAGTCTGAACTGAAGATACTAGTATCTGCCTAACTTATACAATGCTTTGTGTTTGTTTGTCTTTTAATTCCTGGATATTAATTTCACATCAAAGTGTATAATTCTACAAAAAGCAGATTGTAAAACAGTGTTTTCCACTGATCAGTTTTGATATCTCTAACATCAGTTTTCCTAATTAGTGGAGTCTTTTGATGAAGTATTTTAGTTGATAAGTTTTGAGCACAGAAGTACATCTTCAGAATATAATTTGGAATGTTAATTGAGGTCACGATTAATTATTTTCTTCTGTAACACCTACTGTGAAGCACTCAGAAAGTCCTAGAATTTAGTCTTTAAAACCCTTTTGCAAGATTAAAACAAGCTGGCCTGTGCTTTCTTAGAAATTTCCAGAGAGTAGGCCAGGCTTGGTGGCTCACACATCAGCACTTGGGGAGGCCGAGGTGGGAGGATTGCTTGAACCCAGGAATTCAAGACCTGCCTACGCCATATTGTGAGACTGTCTCTACAAACGCATTAGAAAATCAGCTGGGTTTGGTGACGTGTGCCTATAGTCCCAGCTACTTGAGAGGCTGTGGTGAGCCATGATCATGCTACTGCACTCCAGCCTGACAGAATGAGACCCTGACTCAAAAGAAAGAAATTTCCAGAAAGCAGCATCTAGCCAGAAAACAGGAGAGAGGAGACTGTGATGGTGTGGGCCTGAGTGCTTACAGTAAGTCGTGGCCAACTTTTCTGTGACGCTTTTGTCATCAGAAGAAATCATTTCGGACGGGTTGATATGTTAATAATATTCACAATATTAAGAAAATTTGCCTGACTCAGTGGCTCAGTCTATAATCCCAGCACTTTGGGAGGCCAAGGTGAGTGGATTGCCTGAGCCTGAGGGTTCGAGACCAGCCCAGGCAACTTGGCAAGAACTCATCTCTACAATTTAAAAAAAAAATTATCTGGGCATGGTAGCACATGCCTGTTGTCCCAGCTATTTGGAAGGGTGAGGTGAAAGGATTGCTGGAGCCCAGCAGGTTGACACTGGGGTGGCTGTGAGCATGCCACTGCACTCCACCCTGGGCAACGGAGTGAGGTTCCAACTCAAGAAATAAAAAGAAAATTTAAATGTATAGTCTACAACTCTGAATGATAAAATATATTAAACTGGCGATCTGCAACTTATCAAGAGCAGGTTTATTACTTGAGGTTTGCATGAACAAATGGAAACAGGAATTGCTCTTTATGGTAAAGCATTTTAAAAATCAGGCTTTGAAAAGGAGCTCTTTTGGATATAAATTTAGGGGGAATTTGCTTTCCTGCAAGAAGATTTCATGTGGGACAAGCTAAAACTATTCCTTTCCAGTTGGAGGTTTATGTATGTATTTTTGAGTTGGAGTCTCACTCTGTCACCCAGGCTGGAATGCAGCGGCATGATCACGGCCACCACAGCCACGACTTCCTGGGCTTATGCAATCCTCTGCTTCAGCCATCCAAGTAGCTGGAACTATAGACATACACCACCATGCCTGGCTAATTTTTGTGATTTATTGTAGAGATGAAATCTCACCAAGTTGTCCAGGCTAGTCGCGAACCCCTGGGCTCAGGCAATCCTCTTGCCTCAGGCAATCCTCTTGCCTAGGTCTCCCAAAGTATTGGGATTACAGGCTGAGCCACTACACTCAGCCTGAAAGTTTATCTTTAAAAAAAGTATCTAAATTACACAGCGCTCTTTTTGAACTGAGGGATAGATATTTCAAAAGTAGAGGGATATTATCACTGCATTAAGAATTTGTCTGAAAACATGAATTTTTCCAAATTCCTGTAGACAATTTGCCCTACTATCTACAGTTACTTATGGAAAAAAGAGGAAAAATCAGAAAGCCCGGTTTAGAGTTTGCAGGTTTGGGGACTGGGGGAGGGTAGGTAGAGAGGATTTTAGAAAATATGTGAAAGGTCCTCAGATCGTCCAAGTGACAGTTTTCTGTACATTTTGGGTGGTTCCCAAATAAAATTTTATTTCAAATAAAATACGCTCTGAAATGCATGTTGAATTGCAGCTTTGTAATCTTTGTCCTGTAAACAGTACTGGGGTGTTCACTCTCTGGGTTTGTCCCTCAAAGCTTATTCCAGCCACAGCAGCCCTGGAGGCAGGCAGTGGTGGATCCAAATCCCAGCACCTTATTCTGTGGGCCAAGAAAACCCATGGCTGCCTTCTTCCCGCCACGTCCCTGGTGTGAGATCAGAGAGTGCGTTCCGTTCCTGCTGGGCAGGAGGATCGGCAGGTGAAGTCAGACTGGCAACTGAGGCTCGGCAAGTGAAGTCAGACTGCTCAGTGTTTCATGAGAGAACTGCAGAGAAGTGAACATCCTAGTGAGAGTGCAGAAGCTGCATGGGGTGTGGGTAAGGTCACTGATATGTCCTCCCCAGTGCTGTCACTGGCTTGAAATGAGAAGGAAGGGCTGGGCCGAGAAGGAACTTCAAGGTCCAGCACCAGCTGAGGGAGCCCAGCTCCAAGACCAGTGTTCTATAAAGCAGTCACATGCAAGTGAAGTTAAGTTCTGCCTGAACATTGTACTTCCAAAAATGTTCAAATTACCCATGTGTATTTGAAAAAATACATCGTTTTCAAAAATCTAGCATTTTTGCAACATTTTGATGGGTTAAGAAAGGGATAGTAACCATATAATTTTTTTTTTTTTGAGTTGGAGTCTCACTCTGTCGCCCAGACTGGAGTGCAGTGGCAGCTCCCGGCCACCGCAGCCTTGACCTGCTGGGCTCCGGCGATCCTTCCGCCTCAGCCTTCCAAGTAGCCAGAATTATAGGCATGCGCTACCACGCCCGGCTGATTTTTTGATTTATTGTAGAGATGAGGTCTCGGCTGCCCAGGCGGGTCTCGAACCCGCGGGCTCAGGCAATCCACTCACCTCAGCCTCCCAAAGGCGCGGGGTTACAGGCTGAGCCACTGAGCCCGGCTACCATATAATTTTAAGTTATGCTTTAATATTACAAATAAGTACAAATAGAGGCCAAGAAAGGAACAATTGTGTTTGAACTTATTCATATGTATACATTTGTTGAGTTGGGGTCTTACTCCGTCTCCCAGGCTGGAGTGCAGTGGCATGCTCACGGCCACCCCAGTGTCGACCTGCTGGTCTCCGTCAATCCTTCTGCCTCAGCCTTCCAAGTGGCCAGATATACAGGCGTGCGCTACCATGCCCAGCTAATTTTTTTGATTTTATTGTAGAGATGAAGTCCCACCATGTTGCCCAGACTGGTTTCTAACTCATGGGCTCAGGCAATCCTCTCACCTCGGCCCCCCAAAGTGCTAGGATTACAGGCTTGAGTCACTGCGCCCGGCTTGAACTTCTAAATTTAAAACTTACTAGCTAGACAAGTGTTTTGATCATTATTCATTCACGTCCATGACTCCTTGACTTTACAGTGTGGTGGACCATGTGTCATGTCAATGGACTGCTTAAACTGTAGGCAATCCCCTTGACCTTGACTCCAGCATGGTGGAGCATGCTGGCTGTATAGTACACAGCAGCTCAGTTTACCTGTAATAAACCCGTGTTTTTTAACTGAACTGGTAGATGGTTTTTAAACTGTGTTAAAAACAACATTATTTCAGTTGTGAAACGGGAATACTTATTGACATTTAGGTGTGCATGCGCATTTTAAATTTGCACTCTAGAAACTTGGTGATGCACACATCTACAGTGTTAGCCCTCAGGAACAGCTCTGCACCACCCAAGAAATCCAGAAGGTTAGGTTATTATTGGGCCAGGCAGAATGTGGATCTGCAGAAGGAGGTCGATGGGCTGGAGGATTTAATGATAATGAGTTGTCTATAGCTGAGAAAAACGGAACACATGAATGGGGGATATGAACTAAAATCACTCACTTTTCATAAGACACAAACATCACAGGTGAGACTGCTACCATATGCTAAAAGATTGTCCACACTTTTATCTTGGAAGTTCATTAAAAATTACTTGAAATTAACGGATGGTTGAATGAGACAAGTCTTTTGTTACTTCTAGTAACTGATATTTATGAATATGACTTAATCTTAGTGTCCTGAAAGGATTTTGGTAAGGTTTTTAGTTTTAGTGAAACAATACCAGTGTAACCCTGGTTCAGTCCAACAGCTTGAAAAAAGTGAATATTTTCCAGAGATGACAAATTTATTTCTAGAACAAATTTATTAAAAATAAAATTAAAAATAACACAAAACTCTTAAACCCATGTGAGTCAAACAAAAATGTAAAATAAAATATAGAAGAAAAACTGCAATTTGCAATCACTTGTAAATTGGTAGAGCTCTAAGGGTTTTATTTAGATAGTTTGATTTGTGTGGCACAATAGAGAAACTGAGGAATAAGTTACTATGTAAGGATGATTCTTAGTGTTTTGGAAAAACTTCTGTTAATATATCAGTTTAGACCCTTTTAATCTGATTTTTTACAATTTTGTACTTAAAGGTAAGCAGCTTTTTTTTAAGTAGACTTGAACGATTCCATATTGATCAGTATATTCAATTTCTAAGCAACACATTAAAAATGGGAGAGTAAAGAATACTTGCAATTATATCAAACCTTTAAAAAACTGAGCTAATACAGTCAAATCTGATATATTTTTGTTTACTGTATTCTCAAGTATTTTTATGATGAAATAGATTTTTATCATTAAAACATCACATTAGTTGAATATTTTCTGTGACACCAC